ATCGTCTAAAACATAATAAAAAAAAAGAAAACTGATGAAGAGATGGAAAAGTCGGTACATAACTCGGCGTTTCTCTTTCCTCTCAATTTTTCTTTCTTTCCCTCTCTCTCTCTCCTCTCTCGCTTTCTTCCATTGTGTCAATAAGTAAGAATGCGCTCATTTTATGTCTATGAAATAAACACATCAATGAACTTCTCCTTTAATTATATTCGCTTACATAGTAAATTGAGGAATACTCAAGTTGATGAAGGAAAAGAGAACGTGTTTAATTAAAAGCAAATACACCTAGAAAATCTTTTTTGTGACAATTGCCTGTGTATGTATGTTGAACTGATAAAAATCTTCCGCGAGAAAAGATTCTATAGGGAGTAAAACGTGACAAGTAGATAAGTCACATCTAATCAATCAGATTATCCTCGAATGAAGTTCACGTGTCATTGGCAAAGCAAGCGCTTGAACTTAACCACAAGGAATCCAGATAATACAAACAAATTGTTTGTTTGGAGATGAAAGTTCGAGGCATGAAAAAGAAAATAGTATTGATTTTTGACTCTTTGTCAACGAATTGAACAAATGAGATCAAGTTGTTATTTCCTGCTTTTAATCGACTAGAAGCTTAGTAAGGAAACAGCAAATGTTATTACATAGAAGGCAATATAGCCTAAAGGTTTAATAAAAATGCTCGCCTGAGAATAAGGCAAAAAAAAATAACAGCCGGAAGATGATTAACAAGAGAATTTTTTCTTGTTTTCCAAAGGAACACAGTTTCGATGGTCTTGTCAGTCGATGACGTAATAACTTGAACTTCTTCCATTCGGATAGAGATGTCTGACACGTTTTCTAAAATATGCTATTTCCTTTCTTTTCTGTTCCTTTCATCTTCTTCCGTGGGTGTGACCATAACACTATTGAGCGATGAAAGTTTTTTTTAAACACATGACAATGGAAAAAAACTGATTTACTTTAATAGACTTTTTTCTGTATAGTTGCTCAAATGCTCGGTGTCGCTTTGTTCCGAACATGCTATATTGCTTCTTTTGATTGCACCCGCTGCACATCAAAGTGTTCCCATCATGTGTTGTCATCACTTGACATTTGAGAACAAAATCAATTGTATTCGTTCAGGCATTTTTTTACAGTATACTACGTCAAGAAATGTTAATTATTACTTGTAGTAATCATTTCGAATCGGATCGTTTTTCAAATGTAGTGTATTAACCATCTAGGAAAGCATGGCCTCCGGCATCACTTTATCATTACGGCCGATTATACTTACGATGGTGTAAAAAAATGATAATAACTTTGTTCAAGATTTCAAATATTGCTATATTGAATTTACTTTCAGCAGAGTAGAAGAAACGACAGAGAAAACAGCTAATTATCTAATCTTATGCTTTATCAAATGTGAAGTAGATGGAGAGAAGTTTTATTTGAAATAAACTCATTTAGGAAACAAGAATTTCTCGTTCTTGCATGTATAATTGTTGAGTTTGTTTAATCGCGTCGAGTTGTTCACTAATAACACCATCTTTACTGAGATTTTTTATCAGTTTGTAGACATCTGTGAGGTTCATTGGTTTTCGAGCTGAGGTTGATAATGCCCAAAATTTTTCGTATTCCTTTCGGAACGTTTTCAATTCTTCGTAGAGAAAAAGATTTGGCGTAGTTTGTTGCTGTTGTTTTTGGCTAATAATACTCTTTTCTTCTTCCATGATACGGTTTAAATTCGCAAGAAGTGGATCATTTTCCTTCGGAATTCGACTCAGATATCGAAAGAAATCCACTAGACCGATTGTCCATTGTTGTAACAAACTAACATTCGTTTTCATATCACTTATTGATTGTATTCTCTTGTCCGTCGTTGTTTCATACTTCAATACATAATTGACTTTTAAATGTTGTGCTGCTGAGCACTGACATCTACTGCACTGATCTAGAACAACATGTGGATCGTCCGGTACGACCCAGAAGTCTTGACAAAGAACGGGAACCGATGGACAATGGAGGCATAGATGGACATTTCTTTGCACAGCTGATGGATGTAATCGAATGAATGTCTTCGATTGAGCTTTGTCTACTAATAAAACATTTCGAATATTATTTCGGATGGCTTCTAATGTTGGACGAATGAGTTTATTGATTTGCCATTGAGCATTTTCGATCGATTGCCAGCTTTGTCGTTCACATGGTTTTAAATCTTTGCAGATATATTGTAAGAGGTGAGAGGTTTCTTTTACAGATGTTTCCCAACTTCGTAGATATTCTTCTTTTTGGTAAACATCGAATTGCAGACCGTTTTCTCGTGCGATGAGATATCGAAAGGCTTCATTGTCGAAACAGAATGTGTTCGACTTTTTCAGAACGATATTTTTCATGCCATTCGAATGCAGCATTCTCTTCAACAACGGCGCAGTACCACCCGGAGCGAAAAATGTCGCTCGAGTATGAGTAAAACAGAAGACGATGTTATTACGAATCTTTTCGCCAAAGAAGCTCATCAACTGCGTAAAATACGATCGGTAAATCACATTCAATCGTGATTCATTCGGCTTCAAAACGATACAAATTGCATTGATATACTGATAATTATTAATACATGATAGAATATGTTGCATCATCAGATCATCTTGATTCAACCCGCGTGCATCGCCCATTCCCGGTGTGTCAATCAATCGAATGTTAAGTTGAGCGCTGATCGGTATGACGTAGGATTTGCATTGTCGCGTGACTGACTGACCTGGATTACGATGATCTTCGTTGGCATCGACACCGCCTAGTTCTACGACGTGCTCTTCGAATTGGTCGCCAACAGCGAGAGGAAATGAAACGGGAATGGCGGTAACAGGTTTATCTGCACATGCTTTCTCAAACGATTCGAATTTCAAATAGTTGATCAGCGCATTGACAAAAGTCGATTTTCCGACGCCGACTTCACCTAATAGAAGAATATTTACGTGTTTATTCGTCGATACATTCGTTGGATCGAGTCGGAATCGTTTTCGTGCTGATGATTTTCCAGATGAATCCTCCCATAAACTTTTTCGTGGTCCAATCGTTTCGTTTAACGAGATGATTTTCAATTTCGATGGTTGAATCGAACAAAATGAAAAATCAGCAAAGACCAGATTGCTTGTTTTCTCTCCGTTGAATAAATTATCGAGGTGTTTGTTCCATTCACCGAGGTATTCACGTTTTAAATCATCATCGAAACAAAATATGCGTTTGCCTGGTCGTTTTCTCATCAATTCTTCTTCGATTAGATCGAGATTCTCACTCTCGCTTAGAGCCAGCTCTTTAACGTTCCAATATTCGATATTTCGTTGTTTCAATTCATTGACTAATTGAACTTTTTCAACGAGGTTTTCGCGTTGTTCGATGATATTCCGACAATCTCTTAACAAAGCTTTTGCTTCGTGGTCAACTAATGAATCTTGCATTTGGTTCTGTTTGATAGTTCCACAACGAATGGCTAAAAGTGTCGCACGAAGTCGATTCATTTTCGTCGGGTATGATTGATTAATTTTCATTTGCCGTTGCTGAAGATCTTCATACGCTTGTTTAAAATACGTCAAGATCGATTGTTCCTTAGCAGATGGTAATGACATATGTAACTCTTTTCGTATGGTTGATAATTCATAAAAATACAATTCAGTTTCGTTGATTAAACCTTTGCTTAAAGGAACAAATACGCCTTTTTCCGTCGAAAACCATGGACAGAGCGTTCGTATAGGTCGAAGTGTATATTTCATTGGAGGGTATTGATAAACATTCGTTCGAATCTGATGGATCTTCTGGCAAATATCTTGTAGTTTTGTTAGATTGACAATCTCCGGAATGTTTGAAAAGACTTTCACATCGGTGAATTGTTCATATAAAGGTTTTTCGTTCGTCTTAACAGAAAATGTATTTCTCACTAACTGTGCTTGAATTCTTTCCAAAAGTTCATCAAGGGCAGTGACGTTGTCCGGTGCTAATTGCAGAAAAACGACCACATGAATGCCATACTGAATTTCCGTTATTACGTGAGTAGCGTCCATGTTTGCACTAAGAATATTAGGATTATCTTTAGCGTTTTCGACGAATTGATTTGCGGCAAGATAACTATGTTTGGTTTTCTGATGAAAAAAGAAATATCGAGTGTATTCGTTGTTTGTAAACGGATAATTTTGTAATAACGACGCTCCTTTTGATTTTGTCAAATTCAAATACATACTCAAATACAGCTCCTTGTCGATTCCGATCATTTCCAGAAGATCTCGGGCTTTAAGTCGACCGCTTGTTACAACAACAGGATTCACTTCGTTTCGTAGTGAAATTAATCGACGAGAAATGTACAACGGTAAACCTGACAATAACTGGTCTTTTGTTGCATCGTATAACGATCCAATGGCACCAGATGGATCGATAGCTAAACGTTGAATTCCTTGATCCAATGGAAATACTTGAGAATTACTCAAATATTTTCCGGATCGTTGCGATATGGGTTCAGTGCGAGAATTAGCAGCACCCATTGTTGCAACTCTTTGATCGAATTCAAATGCTTACTTGAGAACGAATGAATGAAGGACTAAAATTGCGTTGGACGTGTCGATTTCTTTCTTTTTTTCTTTATTAAATAATCTGATTTTTTTTTGTTTCTCGACACTTTATTTTTTAAAACAAACAGAAGCCTGTAAATACATTTACACATCTTAATCTCATTTTGTAGGCGAAGAAAGAGAATCGCGGCAACGAGCGTTCTTTTTTAACTTAACGCCCACCAGGATGGTAAATAATACTTGCACAGTTTTACCTTCTCCACACGAGCATTACGTTTACTTTTCTCTACTTTAATTTAATACAAAACGATTACTCTATACAAAATATGGGGGATTCAGTGAAATGTTGTTTTCCCCAAACAATGTACCATACAACCTTGATACCAGCAAAGGAAACGAAGATTGCACTGGCATAGTTCATCGTTGAAACCGACACAGGTATCGCCGTTGGCATCGAAAATATCACCACAGCCGAGTTTGCCAAGGTGAAGTCGCAGCACCTGTGAATACGTTGAATGCAGCCGATGAATAGAACTAAATAAGACCAGACCAAAATTGGGCGAGTGATATTGCACCCTCAAGATGGCTAAATGCGTAGTGACACCGAGATGTAGCCGTCAGAGAACTTACTGAAGCAAAAAATTGGACACCAAAGATTAAGCACATAAGACTGAACCCACCAGCTTGAGTAGAAATATAAGCAATTGGTTGACCTGTTTGTATGGAAAGTAGTTTATTAACATTAGGCATAACGAAGAGAAGAGGAATGAGATAAATAATACCAGTCATTCCAGCAGCAATAACGGAATATACAATTGCTTTCGGCACTTCGAGCTCTAGACTTTGAACTTGTTCACACATCGATGGTATCATAACATAACCTGTGAGAGTGAATGCTGATGGTAGCAATCCAACGAAAAATGACCATGCTGGAGGCCAACCAGATCTCTTGTCGACTCACATTCGATAAAAATAAAGGACGCACTTCTTCTTCCTCCTTTTGTTGTTGCGAGTATAGAGTAACAGATATGATCACAACGGCTGTGCCTGCCAATAAATAGAGATGACATTGACATAATCTAAGTATTTTGCTGCGAATATATTGACAACTAAAGCAATAAATAATAGAAGCCAGTATATCGAAACAACATGCCACGGAACTGAAATGTAATTTTCTTTCCACAATCCAACTACAGAGAGTATTAGTTGTCCACCAGCAAAGCAAATAGCAGCTGTCACCACTCAATTTCCTACTAGATCTAACCATCCTGCAATCTATGAAGTCACTGGTGCCTATCGTTTACTAGCTAACATTGCTGACTAATAATAAACACCGCCAGAAGTTGGATATTTCGAACACATATACAAGACAGTTATCACGAGTAAATCATAGACATCATAGAAAAAATCCATTCATGCATTCATTTTTTTTATACAGCATGATGTGGAGGTTGCTCAATATATTTACTGAAACTAGTTTTTCATGAACTGTTGCTTATACGGAAAACGATACATTTCTGAAGTAAAAAGAAATAAATTATTACAACTGTAAAATCTCTCTTTGATGTAATCTTAATCATCATCTATAACTGCATTTGTTTAGATCGTTTTCGATCTTCTTTGACGAGATCTTTAAGTAGGATTTAGAATACACTCAACTGCTCATGTATTTGTCGTTCGTAAACTGAAATATCGTTTTGATATCCATGACGGTTAGTTAAATAAGAACTCTAATGAAAAAGTCGCTTGTTTTGATTCCAATTTCCACCACTTTTGGGGAGTTCTCCTTTATCGTCATATTTTGTTCGTTCAGCAGTTTATTGAAAGGAGCTCATTTTCGACATATGCATATATATAGAAATCAAATAACATCAAACTATTCAAATTTAGTCTGTCATTCAAATATTTCTGATAATATAATTTCCATTTTCGAACAGTTCGAGTTCAAGTTGATGATATTGTCGAAGTGATTCGTGATGTCCAATACTAATCATCGTCAAATTTTGATCTATCAAACAACTGTATATACTCATTTCCGTTCGAACATCAACAGATGAAGTAATTTCATCTAGAAATATCAGATTAACACGTGGAGGTTCATTTGAAGTGAGGCGAAGAAGTAATCGTATAAATGATAGACGTTGTATTTCACCAGATGACAATAAATCTTGCCAAAGCTGCTTTGAACATTGATAAACATCTCCTTGAACACAATTCAAAACATGTGAAAGTTTCCATTCGTTGAGTAGTTGTTCGATTTGCGTTTGACCGATATACCTATCAACATGAGGATAACGAAGTTCATCATACAAAGAACAATTGGTAAAATAGGGACGTTGTGGAAGTAAGTAAGCTTGATCAGGTTTGTATGAAAACAATCCATTCGACTTCGTTGGCCATAAAGAATGCAGAACACGAAATAATGATGTTTTACCAACACCACTACCTCCTAAAATACACGTCATGTGTCGCTAAATCAGGTAGTTAATGAGAGAACAGCACAAACCTGTAATTAATAAACGCTGCTGCGGATATAATGTTAAATTCAAATTGTTCATCAGCATCATTTGCTCATTATTCGGAAGAGTGTAGGAAAGATTCCGAATGAGAAGAACTTCATCATGATGCAACACATCTTCTTCGATTTGTGTTTCGAAACGATCTACACTGTTATTTTTCATACATTCAATAAATGATTGTACACGATGAGTATTCGATGCGATAATTGCTACGTCACTCGCAGTATCATTTAATTGATTAAAACAAAAGATTAAATAGCCAATAACAAATATAGTCTCGCCTATTTTCTGAACAAGTTCAAGTGTTGTTAAATGATCGTATAAATGAAAAACTAGAATAGCCAGTGCAATCAATAAATAACTGATTATACTACCCATATAAACGTACAAGTTTGTCGAGAGGCTCAGAACAAATTCGAATAAACTTCGGTTCGAATTTGCGTATGAAGAAAACGAAAATTACCTTCGAAAATATTCTGTCGAAATATCGTTCGTGAAACAGCAGAGATACAAATGCGATTAATTCCTGTCCAAAGAAAGAAATAAACGACAATTCCCAATGGACCATAATACCCAGTTACTTTCCACACACGGTAAATATAAAACGCAATTGTAAATGGCGAAACAAGTAGAAGAGGCGTTATGGTTGAAAGCGATCGACATAACGAATCAACATCTTGTGTTATACGTTCATCGGGATTGTCAACAGTTTGTTTTTCATCGGAAGAAGTCGAATGATGTAACATATGGTAAAAACGTTGTTGTTTGAAGTAGAATGAATGTAGATAGATGATGAGTCTTGTCCGCCATTGGATGGATAGTATGGACGATAAAAATGTTGAAAAAGATTTTAAAAGTGCATTTATTGTAACGTAGAGAAACGAACGAATGATTAACCAATGAAATTCGGATAGATTACGTTCACTTGGTGATTTGCCTAATTGAAAATTATACTCCGATGGGAGTAAACCAACTAAATAAATGACAAATTGTAAACTAATTTGATTTACTGTTATTAACAGTATCAGGGTCAACGGATGCGAATAGAAATGTCCATTGAAATCTGAAGAATTCGACAAAATCGCACGAAAAAGTTGGATGAATCGTTTAATGAATAGATAATTCAAGTTGTTTTCTGAAGGCATACTTCTCCCGTTGTATATCGTTATCTATCACACACGTGTTTTTAGTCTGTCTACACTGATTGTTTGACTTACTAATATGCTACAATGACTCACAGATAAATGTTGCTTACAAAACCGGATTTAAGTGTTCGAAAAAAAGCTAAACATGTATGAAAAATAGAAACAATTATAGCGTGGCTGTTTAAAGTTTGTTGCCTCTCCAGACCCGCAAATATGTTCGATGCGACACTATTCCATTTCCCCGAGCTGTCACATTGTGTTCAATCCGAAACAATGCATTCATTTCGCGTAACTCATTTTCCAATGTTATTGAATCTATTCGATTTTCATATATTTCAAATTCAATCACCAGTAGAGATAAATTTCGTAGCTGTCTTAATAAGACTAATGAATGATTTGTTTCCTTGACGCCACATGAGAGATATTCAAGACCGGAAAATATTCGACAAAACTTTTTCATCACAGCTACGTTAGTAAAACACGTGGGATACGAAGCTATACACAATCTTCGAAGAGTTTTCAAATGTTTATACAACGGACTGCTTTCTAATAAAACTGAAATATGATGCGAGTTAATGCATAGTCGAGATAATTGCCGCGCTTCTTGAAACATATTGATCAACAGATGTACGATATCTAATTCTGGATTGTGTACGACTTCTAAATAGGTCACATGCGATAGATTCACAATCGATTTCAACGATTGAACGTGTTGAGACCCGGTTAAAATAGGAACATTTTGATTTTGTTCAACGTCGCAAAAGTTCAATTTTAACTCCTTCACATTTGGAAAGTAATACTTCGATTTGTTTGGCACGTCGGGGTGGTAAATTGTTAAGATGTTGATATTGTCGAATTTATTCGAAATTTTCGGTAGAGTATTAGAATAACCACCAGCAGTCAGTTGGGTTGACAAAATGAAAGAAAATGCTCCGAGAGGTACAGTATAGATTTTCGCTCGATCTTCTTCATATGAATATTCGGTATACCAACGATGTTCTTTAAGCCAAAAGTCATTTTGAAAGTGATCGTACTTGTCGATAATGTTCGAAACATCATTATCATAGAAGAGGAATTCGAAACTGAATTTGAAAACTTTCAAACGAGAAAGTGAAGATGTGATTAGGCTTTGCCAACGATCTGCATCAACAATATCCGTATTGACAACCGAGGATATCGTTAGATTCGTTAGATTTGGTGTTTGTTTGGTCAGTATTTCGATATATTCAAATGGCGCAAAGAACCCTGTTAAACTCATTTTTTTCAGATAAACAGCCTTGTGATTGTTAAAATTCGAGAACCAATACGACCAACGAGAATGAAATGATAATTGATGACAGTTGACATAGTTCAACATTGGAGCATATTCGAGTAAATGACTTAAATCGAAACATGAACAGTTCGAAAGGGTCAAATGTGTCAGAGAACGAAAGTGAAATAGAGCTGGTAATAAGGATTCGATTGAGTTGGATATCGGGAGAAAAGTTGATCCCCATTTAACATCGCTGGTTGGTTCGATTAAGTGTAGATATCGTAAATTGGACAAGTTGGGTAAGATAGATATAAATTTACTGGCATCGCTTTTTTCTAGTCGAGTGAGTGTTATTGATCGAAGAGACGGAAGTTCATCGAGTGAGACAAATGAAAGAAACGATCGGATTTGATAACATGTTGGATCGCCTGAGAGGTTTATCGAGGAAATCTGGTGTTTAATAGTCGGATCTAATAGCATTCGAAGACAGAATTGATCGAATATCGATTTGGAAGCGAATTCGCCATTGATATGTAATGGAATCGTTCGAATGAGTTGATCGAAACGATTATTCAATTGATTGAATGAATAAAAGATGTCCAATGCATTGAGATATTCCAAACACTCAAGAACAATCTCATTTGGTAACCGTTCAAACGTCATCACTCCGATTTTTTCGTTTGCCATTTGAAGAATGGACACGCTTGTGACAAAGTAAAAACGCGCATGTTTTGATTACATTACGAATGAGTAACGAAAAACATTACATCACAACGCAGTAATGCGCGTTTTTTCCCCTGTTCTTCCTCTGTGACTCATTTGTTTATTCAAGAGAACGAAAAAGGTCAAATTTCTTTCCAAGAACTTGTTTTTCTATTGAAAAGATTATTTGTCGTTCATTGGTCTTTTTCTCGCCAGTGTATCAACAAGCACGACCATTTCGAAAAATGTGTTTAATCAGTACGGAAATATGATGTGAAGAACTGAGATATAAACTGGTCGGCACCTAAATATTAACTTAAATATTAAAAGATACGTGTGATCTAATAAAAAACATATTTCTCGATTAAACGATGTTATACTTAGTTTGGTTTTATATTCTTATTGACGATCATAAGTTGATCTACGTGTGTATATAAGAGCACGGTAGAACTTTATTAGAAAAGGCACGATGAAAATCATTGACAATCCATTAGCTTTGTTTTGTTGCTAATTCAAATGATTGAAATCGAAGCTGGCGGTCGAAAAGCACAATGCCAAGCTGGTCTTACTGGTGCTATTGCCTGGGCATCTGTTGCACCTTGCCTGGCAGCTGAACCATTCGGTGCACATTTTTTGCCCAATTGCGATTCCAATTGCTACGAGTTTTGCAACACGAAGTTGTGATCGCTATGAACGTAAACGAAGCACGTAAGGACAAACAGATTGAAATCCAAAGCAAAGGAGAGCTTCGATTGCTGTTTAACTTTGTCTAGTGGAAATCCGAGGTGTTTCTTTTCGAAAACACTAGGACGATCAGTATGTATCACTCCTCAACTAATGTATAAACTCGGTCAAGCGGCTTCTGAATTTTGTAATAACCAAAATCATGGGAAACAAAAGTGTGTTGGAAATGAAGGTTTTATAGCCTGTGTTTACAGTAATTCCATAGTTCGATACATGAATTTGTTTGCTCATTTCTGCTTGGTTACGTAGATAAGTGGACTGTGCAACAATTGTGTGGAGTAGGAACACGGTGTCAAAGCCATCCGGCATCGAACCGACATGTTATTTGTGGCTGGTAGAATCTCAAAGGACAACTACAATGAACAGTTTCAATTCTCTTTTATGATAGTTTCTTTCCTTCTTATTATTCAATGAAACTATCTGACCTTTCACTTCCATTTCTAGATCTGCTTTGTGAAGTTCTCTCTAAAGGTTACGATGATATTGGAGAAAGTTTTCTTCTATATAAAGACGTTCTTCATATGGTTTGAAATATCCAAAGATCTGGACGGTTTTATTCCTAACATTTACTATGTATTCAATAAAATTTGGTTTATCCAAATAGTCGTCTGCATCTGCTATTGTATTAAGGCCAACAAACTGTTTCCAGATACACGATACTCAAAGCATTTTGCCATTGTTCAATTTAATTTTATGTTACTAATGAATGGTACATTATATGTCGCAGAAATAATCTACACAAACAAAATTATGCTGAGTTTCAATACGTTTTTACACCATATATTTGCATTTCTTATTTTCCTTTTCACTTTCTTCCAACAGTATATGATCTGTGTTTTGTATTTGACTCCTTACTTCATCCATTCATTGTGTTGGTATTTAGAAACGTCGTACGAGTCTCTGCTATTACATATTAGAAGACGAATACTTCGTTTAAATCAATTCGATATAGTCTAACTTTTCGTCCGCATCTGATTTCTTTACATGCTTGAATTGCATATAAACAAAAACAATGACTAAAAGCAGAATAAAAAAAAACACAAGTCTTCCACACTTCAGTCCACGAAGTAAAAATGCATACTCACGTTAACGCTGTTGCATTTTTTTTCTCGTAACAACAAATGTTTATCACTGGATTGACAAATCGGCAAGAACTCTTCTTGTAAAAGGCTAAATTCATTCTGTTAATTTTCATTCTAGCAAAATCAAATATTTTATCTTCGTGATTCTATTCTTTGGAGTATCGATGATTGTGTTTATCAATCTTCAAACTTCGAAGGACATCGTTTGCAACTTCTTTCTCCGAACAATTTCAAACACAAATCACAGTCAATGGAGAAAGAATAGACTTGTCATCGTTCCTGCAGTTCACAATGAGATCGATTGGCATAAACCAACAACTTGGCCGCAATGGCTTCGCAATGGCCTTGATTTATTTAACAGTAGTCTTTCACGGTCTTATGATGTTTATTTATATCAACGTCTCGATCCATATTCGAAATCACCGTTCAATTGGCCCTATTGTAAGAATGTGCATGAAGAAGCAGGTGTTTATCTCAAATTTATCTACGACTTTTATTATGATTTACCTGATAAGATGTTATTTGTGCATGCAAAACCTCAGCAACACTCTCTTTATCCCATTGAAGCAGCGCAATGTATTCGTAATGATGTTTATTATGCAAGCGTCAATAATATTTGGTTTGGTAAGCGGCCTTGGATTGCAGCGAATCCCGATCCGATTGATAACATAACGTTAATGTACAAATGTGCGAAACGTATCTTGAGTTTCTTCGGTATTGATGGCGAAGCTCAATTAAATCCCACAGATTTGAAACAAAAAGACATGAGTATCTATTCGACGATGTGTTGTGCACAATTTTACGTACGGAAAGAGCGCATTCATCATTATACCTACGGACAATGGTCGGCAGCATATAACGCCAGTCTTGAGCCTTATTGTACGTCACCACTTGACCGTGAACGTCCTGGCTTACCAGGAGTGAAGTCATTCGGAAGCAGTTTTGAATTTCTTTGGCATATCATCCTTGGACTTGAAGCGCCAGATATGCCTGAGCCGAGAGCAAAGACAACGTCTGATCTATGTCATCTATTCCGTTCATCTTGTTTCGGAACACTATGCAATGCGATGGTTAACGGAATTCGACGTTCATCTACATAAGCATTCTCGTGTGAGATCATGCACGGTTGACGCTTTTATTTTAAAAATAAATAAATGCGGAATGTTCGAATTCCATCTGAAATTTATATATAATGCAAAAAGTGTATCACATGTCTGACAGAGAAATATCAATAGTTTTTCAATAACTCAAAAATCAGTCTCAACTTCGAATTCTGATGTAACAACATAATATTGAAAATTCCATCATAATCAAATTAGTTGTTTAAGAGTTATCGTGTAGACAAACAGTAGAGAGCACGCTGATTGATTCTAATAATGCGTTCTCATTCTCAGTATAGCATAGCACTAAGTCATTTGTAATCTGTTCGTAGTAACGTACTGTTGATACTCTGAATCTTCAATATCAATAAATATATCTATATACAAACTATCTACTGTACTAGGAAGAACTGCTTGAGAAAGAGCACATTTTGTACAAAGTTTCTCAGTAGTTATTGTATTTATTCTTAAATTCATTTTTGATGATCTTTGAGTAATATTATAACTGATTTATTAGCAAATAAACTAATTATTTTTTTTGTTTGACTGTTTAAAGCAAAAATGAAAATTGATCGAATATTAATAATTTATACTATCAACACAATCACCTACGTTCACTTTCAATATCTTTTGAGTTGTCTAAGAGATCTTCTTAATTTTTTTAATTAAGTATAAATCAAAGATGTATAATCATCAAATATATTGTAAGCATTCATAAGATAAATCTGCGATATATTATTTTATGCTTTGAATAGTTCATTCAGCGACTTTGTGCTTGAGTTCAAATTTAGTGATCGCTGCGCCACCCAGTAATTCGGACAGATTCTTTTTTTTTGAGTATTTAGAATGATCTGATGCTGGTCATACAAGTTAGACACGATTTGCTCATGCGGCAAGTTCATTAGCAATTGGAAAATCCAGTTCACAGGTGAAACTGGTTATGATGTTTATGCGACGACCGAATACTATTATCCATCAAGACAAAAGTGGACAGCTGGTGCAAATATGAACGATTGTTGAGCGTTTCATACATCATCTCTATTAAAGGATGGAAAGGTATTGATTGCTTCAACACCACTGTCAAAAGTGTGAGAAGCTTTGGCACGATTGTTGACCAATTAGTACTTTCATCGTTTAGTCCTAGAGACTTATGTTTCCAAGAAAAATACAAGCACTGAACATCAAGACAACCAATTACAGCGTAGATAAAAGTATTCAGGTATTTGAAGATCTCATTTTCTCTCTTTTTAATAACGATGATGAGAAGAAAAATGACGAAAAGGATTCGTTCTAGAACTTCTTTGTATATTAATTAGTAATTCACTTGCACGTGTTGTAAAGCCCTCCCCAAGTTAAAAGATACGGGGCCTTCTAAAATGTCTTTGCATATAATATAGGTAAAGGAGTCTAATATAACGTCATTTGAGAGAAAATTAATAAATATTAAATAATGCAAAATATCATAAGTTTTTTTAATTTCATCAAACAATTATAAAACTATAAAATAAGTATATAAGCATATAAGACAAACTAGTTTTTCTTCCACATATTCATGAGTTGTCTAATTCGAATATAAATAGAGTTTAAAAATACAACTTAGCATAAAATCAGTGTTGAAGAAAGACGTAGTTGTATTTATTTGTACCTATAATTCATATTTAAAATTAAATATACCTATTTATGTGGGTTTCAGTTAAGAAAGACCTGAACAAATCTGCTCCTGCCTATTACCAACGATTCTTATTTTTAGGGGAGAAGGCATAAATTGACTATAGACTCATAAAATCAAAAGTACATTTAGTCCTACCATATACTAGAGTGTTACTTTTCATTTTGTTCATTTTTTTCTGAAGTTACAACAGACAGCTGAATCTTTATTTATATTCGAACTCGAATTAGGCAACTCACGATTTGATTATGTACAAATTGTAGAGAACTGTATCTCAGAAGGCAAAGAAGTACGTTTTAATGATTTTTCCATAACTTCTACCGAAACTTCTCTATGAAGAGGTCTTCTAATACGTCATATGAACTTGTGGACGAAAAGGGTATTCTAGTTTGAGAGAATCTTTTGATATATCGGAGGGTTTAATTGTAATTAGCAGAAAAATTGTTGTTGAGTAAAACAGGAGGTACCAACGATTGATGAGAAGTAATAAACATTACTTCAACCGAGCAAAATTGTTAAAGTAACAGTGCCAGTATGGATATCCGGTATCGAGTCATGGTTTTCACTTAAGTTTAATTTTTTTTTGCAGCTTCCGGACTCTTCTTATCACTTTCGCTTCATAATATAAGATAATGAAACTTTAATAATCTTTTCAAAGTATGAATATTCATATAGAAATAAAATTTTCAAAACACTGTTAATTATCTTTCTCAGCGATTCCTGAGAATACCGAGGTTAAATTGCTTGAAGATCAAAATGCGCATCGATGAGTTATGCTCTTAGACATGTTTCTTCTTAACCTTCCAGACGCTCTTTAACGTGCAAACATGACTGAAATACGCTCTGCGAGATATTTAATAGTAGATTATCTCTAATGTCGTCTCAGCAAACAACCAATCAGAATTTAAAACACGCTATTTTATCTTCCTTGTCAAAGTCTATTCCTTTCATCATTTCATCAT